TTGAAAGTGCAAAATAGTATCTTTATTAATCTGCAAAGTCATAAGTCTAGTCCCAAGATTTGTTCAGAATACTATCTGAGAAAACTCTCTCATTTATTTATAAAATTCTAAACTGATAGTTACTGAGCTACGCCTTCTTATAATAATAAATAATACAAGTATTGAAAAATAGTATATAAAGAAAATTTGACAAAATAACTTAACCTAACACCATAAATCTTGCCATACGACTCAGAATTTCATTATATATAAACTTGAGATATATAAGAAATTAAATTTAATCTTAACTTTTGACTTTAAAGCTTTCAATAAATTAAATGTGGATTATTATGATTGAATATGTATAAAGTGAGATAATAATTCACAGAAATTTTATTAAATTTGAAAGCCGAATTTTAATATTATTGAACTGTAAGTCGTCGAAATATCCTAATTTCTAGCAAACGTTATGTATATAGTAATATTAACAATAAGAAATAGTTTGGGTTGATCCTAATAATTCCTGTACATTATTCAAAATGGAATTCAATAAATATATTTATATTAATATCTGATTAAATTAGTTTCGCTTGAATCATATGAATATATATTTTAAATTATAATTTCAATTAAGAAAATTTATCTCTAGAAGTTGTGAAAAGTCGGAATTTGAATTGAAGGGTTAATCGATGTTTGGTTTTCGGTCAATGGCATCGAAGTAGTGCAAATAATATTACATACATGAATACATTAGTTAATAATCACACCCTTCTGTTGATTCCTTTGTTGATTTTGAGTCATTAAATAAATATTTCATTTCGACAATTTCCTCCCTTTCTACTGCAAATTGAAAAGAAATTTTGCATAAAATTGTTCAATAAATTTTTCATTTAGACACGAAGTCTTGAACAATGCTAAAAAATTATTTTAGTTAAATATATTAAAATATTGAATTAGTTCATAAATGTAATTTCAAAAAACAATTATCTTACTCGTCGATTGTGTCTTGTCTTTTGCTCCTTTAATAAGACACTATTACTGCAACTTTTCGCCTGCTACAAGTGTGCTTGCACAATATTAGATGCCATTACCATTTAATACTTTTTTTTGATTATTTTATGGCCGTTTATCGTTTTTAGAAATCATTTTCAAAATAGAGAATAATTTAATTTTTTTAATGATTCAAATTCAAGGAGAATAAATCATTGCTTCATATAACGTTCATTAGCGCCACCTATTGTGAGTGAAGTGTTCTAATATTTTTATCAATTACTTCCTGGCAAAATGTCACTTCCGAAAATTAGTTAAACGCAGCTTCGATTCTTGAAAACAGAATTCGTCAATCTGCTTCTCCTGATTCACACCAATCTTCCTAAATTTACAACGACGATATAGATGATGTTATTATTAATATTTATTTCATGAATTATTTTTTATTTTTGAATCTAAAAGATATCGACTGACAAACAAAAAAAAATCCATCCTATAAATACATTTGCTTTAGGAGCTTATTGATTTCTAATATATGTCATTAATACGATTTGTTTAATGAGCCTTAACCTAGACTTAGAATAATATTCAAGACTCCACTTTTCTTATTTTTATTATGGTTGGTTCAAAAAGCATATATTCGTGTAACATTTATTAAAAAATTTTTTGCAACTTTTAAATGTTAAAAAATAGAAATTATTATCAATGTATTTTTTGTACACTTTTAAAAACTTTGAACTGTAGTTTGGAACATATTTGGATCTATTAATTAACAAAACTATTAAAAAAATATAAAAGGAAAAAAAAAATAAAAAAAAGATTTATTGTTGTTGGCAAATGATAAACAAAATAATTAATAAAAATAATATTCTAGCCCGGTCTAGTTTAAGTTTTCTCTTGATTAATTTACATATTAATTAGAAAAGTCAATTTCATCACAAAAGTGTCATATTCAATAGAACGTAAATACGATACATTACAATGAATTCATCGCCAATTGTATAGATGCAGGGAAAAACCCTGAAACTATTTTGGCAAAGTCAAAACTTTTCAGAAATTATTTCGACTGTTTCGATGGTCTCAAAAGTTTCGACGGTTTCGATAACAACTTTGCGAAGTTTAATAAAGTTCGACGAATTAACAGTTTTATTATATTACAATCGTAGAATATAAAAAACGATTTTTTTTATTTTTTTTGCTTTATTTAAACCAGAACAAAGTTTCCAAAATAATGCATTATTTATCGAGCAGGTTTTAAATTTGCAAGCACAGGAACTAGTTGAAGAATTGCCTAATGAAGGAAACTGTCATGAGTTTGATGGACTAATTGGGTGATAAATGATGTAATTGGATTTATGAAGAATAAATTTAATTCATTTTCAATATACCTTTTATAAATAAATGATCAAAGAAATTGACCTTTGCTATATACGTCTCGTAAAAACAAAAATAATAAATTTTAAAATTATAAAAATTTTATTTTAATATCAAAAGGTTTCGATGGGCTTTGCCATCCGTCGAAACTTTTGCCACCCGTCGAAAATTTCGCAATTTTGCATCTAATAAAAAAAATTTGGAAAGCGTTTCGACGGGTTTCGAATTCGATGCCTGTCGAAACATCCAGGTTTTGCCCGGAACCTTACAACAATTGTCAAGTTCCTGTTGACAGTTGACGCAACAAAATACTTATTTATTGTAAAATTTATATTTCAATTCAAATTTTTTGCTAAATCAAAAAAATCGCACTTTGGCTGGATGTCCGTTTATTTGAATGATAATGAAATCGCCTAGTTTCATTTTGATTTTCAAAACAATAACAATAATAAGAACTTACATAATTCTTATTGAATAGCTGTTAACCTATAATTCCCACATAAAAAGTTTTAAATTAAATTTCATAAAGAGGCATCAGCTGGGTTTTGAAATTATACGTGATCATCATTTATAACTTGAAATACTCAAAATTGAATAACAAACGTTATTGAGGTCTTTTTTTATTCATTTAATCAAAAATCATTGTGTTCTGAAATTCCAAGTTATCTTAAAGTACGGAGATTTTCAAATTTTATTCCGCAACCATTAGATAGGTACTTCAAAAACGTTTGTTTAAAAAGGGTAATATCTTGAAAGACACCCGGCCACGCGATCTCGCACAAAGTTTGCGTAACAAACCGTGTAACGGGAAAAAGTGGCGAATTTTGAAACAAAAAGCAATTGGAATTTAGTGATAACCAAATATGATAATATTTGTGTGAATCATTTTTACTTTATTTTACAAACCATACAAAGACATAGATACTGACAAAACGAACGAACTTAATGGTTGTAACACGTGGAACCATATTTTGTTATATTGTACTTTAAAATTTCAATGATATGTCAATAATCTTCACGTAACTTTACCAATTACATAAACAAAGTGTCATGCATTATCGAATGCTTGATTAGAAAATATTATAAAAGAAGATTATTATTGTTGATTGCTTTGCCGGAGCAGTTCAGGTGACTATAGAAATGGTCAGCCTGTCTTTCAGTATTTTCAATAAATGGTAAAAATTGACCTCTTTCTCTAAGTATAATTTAGTAAGATCAGAGAAATAGAATTGCCCATTTTTATATTGGAAAAAAAAAAGTTTTCAAAAAAATGTCCAAATTCTTCTTTATTAAATAAAGTTAATAAATAAGAAGTAATAAATAATAAATTGTAAGGATTTCAACTTGACTGATAATAATTAGATTTTTTTTTTTTTTTTTTTATTAAAAAGCAAATGGTTTATTACCAAGGTGAGAAATTAAAAAATTTAGCACCTGATCATAATAAATAAGTATGTTGTAAGTCTCGTGACAAACAGATTTCCAAATCAGTCAAATTTTGCCATTAATTATAATACAGATGAAACAAAGAATTTTAATATATTTGAGAGACGTCACAATTAGTTCGTTTTATGCCAGCAATTCTCCAGATTTTCTTTAAAATTCGAATTATTAACTACCATATGGTAACGAAATTTTTTCTGCTGTTAAATTAACGTTATGTAAATTATATTTCCGAGGATATTCAAAAAAAATAATTGTTAAAAGTAGAATTTGAGAATATCATAAATAAATTCAATAAAATAATACATTCAAATAACAACTAATTTTTAAATAAAATATCAAATGACCTAAAACTAACCAATTCTATAGAGTTGTACATATTATTAATAATAATATTTGAATCATATGCTCGTGACACCAATCTGCCAAAATATTTGGACAACTTCATTCATGAAGCGAGTTTATCACGGTTCAATAATTTTTGGATTAGGTCCGTCCATACTTTGGGTATTTGATTTAATTATTAAGTTCTGAAAAATTTTTAAAAAAAAAGATAATTCTGATATTTTAACATCTGTTGTAAAATTTTTAATAAATTTCTTTCGTATTTATTACATAAAGAATCTAAAGAATAAAATTATTATTGATCATTGGAAAGTTTTGAAATGCAAATTACTTATATAATCAATATAACATCAATCAATCACGTCAAAAAGCGTAAGACCGTGAAAAAAGTCAGTTATTTCATAAAATCATTTAACAACGCTCCGTGATTTAACTACTATAAAAAGATATGTCGCACATTTCATCCATTGTTATCCGAATTTTCCCGAACGATGTAAGAGTTAACAGAAGAATTTTTAGATGAAATTATAGTCTTTTTTGAAAATCGCTAACTATAAAGGTGATAGTCAGTTGATTATCTGCATTAATACAGTCGGAAATAACGGCAAAACGGTTTTGTGCAAAAAAAGACCAGAAATTATTTAAAGGCTTGAAATTTATCTTATTTGAAAAATCGAGCAGTAATTTATTTATTATTATCTTCTACCCTTCCGTTGTCAAATTCTCGATACACTTTTTCATTTAAATTTATTCGTTCGTCCCGATTTATCGTGCACCGAACAAAACAAGGTAATGTAATAATTGGTTCATTTTCGTGTAACTATAAAAAACCATTAAATGATCCTTTTCGTAGACATTTTAAATCATACATGTCCTCCCAACAAGATGATTATATGGTAAGTAAGTTAATAAGGAAACCCCATTCAATATTTGGAATATGTTTAGATTGTGGGAAGGAAAGAAGCGATGTAGAATGGTGCAAAGATTGCGAAATTAGCGCCTTAAAAGAAAATTTTAGAAAATGGACAAGTGGTAACCTTGACATTGATAATTTTATCCAATACACACAATCAAATGCAACTGGGATTGTGGATTATTTAGAATATATTGATTTTGAAAAACTAGAATTTGTGGAAAAAGCAAATAAAAGGGATGCCGCCAGCACAATTTACTCAGCAATTTGGATAGAAGGACCCCGATGGTTATGGGAAAAAGACGCTGAAATTTGGTCACGAAATGGACCCACAAAAGTTGCTCTAAAAAAAATTAATAATGCACCATATATGCGTGAAGATTACTTAAAGCAAGTAAGTTATGACAACCTTTATTCGAAATTATTTATTTAAATATTTGTCTTTTAGAGATAATAACAAACATTTAATTAATTTTAAATGAAGCTTTATAAATATCACCAATATGAGAACGGTGAAAACTTTTATGGAGTAACTAAAGATTATAATTCAAATTACATGTTCGTTATGAAATATTATGAGTATTATGAAAATCGGGATTTATATTCATATATTGATGAAACTCAAGGAAACCATTATTGGAAAGGTACCATTGTAATGCTTTGGCAGATATTGGGAAGAATAATCGTCTTTCATGAAAAGGGATTAATTCATGGAAATCTTCATGGAGGTGAAATATTGGTTGAAGTTGAAAATGGTTCAGTTGAAAACGTTTATATCCCAGATGTTGAACCATACTTTTCGCTTGATTCGAGAAATTCAAATGAGATATATGGAGACCTTCCTTATACCTCTCCTGAAATCTTACACGGAAATTCACCGACAAAGGCCTCAGATATTTTTAGTTTTGGTCTTATTATGTGGACACTTTCTTCTGGTGTTCGTCCATGGTGCAATAGGCCACATGATCTTGAATTAGCTACTGAAATTTGTTCTGGTCTTCGTCCTGAAATTATTGACGGAACTCCAGATTTTTACTCTCATTTAATGACGAAATGTTGGCATCCTGATCCTTCAAGTCGTCCAACGGCATCTGAATTATATGAATTACTGGGTTTTTGGATAAATGTTATCGATAACTTTATAATATCTAAATTAACCGAAAAATCTGTTACTGTGAAAGAGAAAAAAATTTCGGGTTTAGAAAATAAATTTCGTCGGGAAAGAAACCATCCCGAAGCTGTTTACGAAAGCAGGTTGTTGTGTTTTCCTGAATTACTTTCACAAAGTCATTTTTAATCAGCATTTAAAAGCGTTTATGATTATCTACAGATTTTTAATTCTTAAATATACAGTTATGTATGATAACTATGTCAAAAAAATTTCTTATAGGTTAATTTTAATTAGTTTTATGTTATGTAAATAGATAATTTAAAGATAAAAGATGGGGCTGAAATTTTAGCGCAACAATGACTTTTGATCAACTTAATATTTTTTACTTATAGATTTCTTGTGCAGAATTTCTTATCCAGGAAAATTTATACCTCCTACACTTATAAATAAAAATGATTTATCGTTACAGTCTTGTAAATCCTGTTCATTTTGTTATTATTAATTACTATTGAGAATAGAATCTGCTCGCGTGTAGCAGAATTTAGTAGTATATTATTAATTTGATTATACAATTGTGAGAATAAAAATTATCTAGTAATTGAAGGTCGATATACAAAGAATTCATCATACTAGAAAAAAAATAATCTATTATGCACACTAAGTCAAAGAAGTAAAATCAAAAAATAAAACTTTATGATATGTTACTAGTTTGAAGAGAAGGATGAAATAACTTGTCACTTTACCTGAAAAAGCGCAGTTTAAATTATTGTTGTGACTGAAATTGAAATTTGAATTCAGACGATCTTCGTGTCTGAAGAGATTCCAATTTCAGACAACTTATAAAAAACTATTTTAACCAATCACAATATGCCAATTTTTTTTTTACAATTTCGTAAAGTTAACTTTAAAATTTTACATTTCAGAATGAGTATTTCTCACATATGGCCCCTTGTTTCTGAGGATGTGATGCGAACCATGTTACAAATATTTTCTGGTTAGTGCTCCGAGCCGATAGAATCGACCCGGGTTATTCGAACCGACGCGAGAATTAATTCGAGTCGGGTTATTATTTTTATGACACGAGTCCTAATTTAATAAAATCCGTCGGGTCAGGGTCATGTTTTTGTTCGACCCGGATGATCTGGTGAACTAATCTTTTTTCGTTTTACGTTACGCAACTTCGATATTAAAATAATACTTGATCCACTTGGATATTATAAGATATAAAATAGAAACATAGCTTATTCGTTATGCTAAAGAAAACAGTTCTTATAACATCAACTATACACCAGCTATTACCATTATAGCAGTAGAATAATAATGATGAATAATAAGTAATTTTAAAAAATTATGAGATGAAATTATATATAAATATAAATACTAAATCATGTATAATAACTTCGTCATATTTGTCAGATTCGTCAGTTTGATCACGAGATAACCCTTATTTTATTTTGTTAATAGCATGGGAAAGTTTTTTATTTGCCGCTTATTATTCGATAGGGACGCCATCAATTTTCCATGTATCATAAGCTTCCTTCGATATATTATTTGTTTATGTTTATTGAATATTCGTTACATATTATTAAATAAGTATCAAAAGAAAGTTATTTGCTAACGTAGCCTTCAGGTTGTAAAAAAAAAAAATATTAAGATTAGTTTATAAATAAACTTAAAATACAAAAGCAAATAATGAATAATACTAATTTGCAACATTAATTTTTTTACCTTTAGAAAATTTATTTCTCTTTATATTTGATTTATTTTCAATAAAAGTACCTATTGAAAATAATTGATATTAATATAATTTAAAACGATAATATAACTGTACTTTCCTTACGCGATTATATTTACTTAATTCTGAAATCATCGATTGATTTTTTAAACTTCTTATTGACGTTGCCGAATTTATCATGCTCGTTAAAAGTCTACTAGTGTAGATAGCTCCAGAGTTAATTATTGTTAGGGGCTCAATATCTGGTAATTTCATATCTATTTTTAGATCTTCTAACATTATTGACGTTAAATCATTCTTAAAAACTTCTTATATCAGCAGCTGTTGGTCTTTTATTTGGATCTTCATCCCAACATCTTTGCATTAAATTAATATAACCTTCAAGTGCATTTTGTGCATTTGTGATGATTGGGGGACGAAGACCGTCACAAATGTCAATAATAAGCTTGACGACGATCCCAAAAAGTCTTCTTCTTGTCATACACTCCCACATAATTATACCAAAACTATATAATTCTGAAGCCATTGTATACGTTTTTGTCTGAAAAATCTCCGGAGCCATATAAGGAATAACTCCATAAATTTCTTCTTCATTTGATGATTTACTTAGTCCTAAATCACAGATAGATGCTGATGCTGCTGATCCTGATTCGATAAGAATATTTCCACTATGGAGATCCCGATGAATTATTTTTGCATCATGAATATTCTCTAGTCCTGTTGATATATCTTTCACAAAGTTTAAAATATCATGAAAATTCGACGTTTTTGTAGTATGGTGTTTTAAATCAGAAGATGAATGGTACATTGTCATCTTTTGTAACAGGATTCGGTAATTCCAAAACACTTATTTATACAAGTGCGTACAAATTTAGACACCTTTCTAAGCTTTAATTTACAATCATAAAAAGTTTTAAGCTATAGTTGCGGGGCAAAATCCTAAACCCATTTTGGCAAAAGTCGAAACTTTTCAGAAATTGTTTCGACAGTTTCGATGGGTTTCGACGGGTTTCGA